CACTGATGACAAACCACATGGAGAAAATCAAATCCTTTCTGAATCAATCTCCTGCCAGGAAAAGGCTGGGTTGTAGAGCAAACCAAGCACCCTGAGCTTCTCTGCATCGTGCACTCCAAAACCCCTGTTTCCATTGGCCAGGGGGAAGCCTGGGCAAGCAATACAAATTGGCTTTGGCAGAGGAGGAAGCAAAGGGCCCTGCTGCTCCAGGACACCTCCATATATTAATGTGACTATCCTTAACCAGCTTTCCACAATTTCATATGCTCACAATTTCCATGCTCTGAGCCATTACAGCACAGTTAAGACAATGAAATGGATGTTTCTCCAGACCACAAGGATCAATAAATTTAGATGGTCTCAAGAAAGAGTGGTGGGTTTCTGAGCATCCCAGCTTTCTTGCCCAGCCTTTCCTTGGTTCCCAAACTTAGAGCAAAATATATCTGTGGCTGGATTCTCACTGGCACATTGACCTAAAAAGGATCATACAGGATCCTTAGAATGGGATGAACCTCTAAAAGGAGCATTGACAGGCACAGGAAAGGCTCTTCAGAAATACGGTTTAGTGATAGCTTAAACATTTGCATTATTTGCATTTCCCCTTCCCTGCCCTTGCTGGGTTCAGTCCTGGCACTGCCTTCAGGGAGAGAAGCTGGAGATCTGGGAGGACACAGGTGCAAGCTGGGCTGGGGCTTACAGACAGGCCACTCATTCATGGAGGGTTTATTAAGAGAAGGAAAGGCAAAACCCTAATTAGTGCAGTGAGTGAGTGAGATGCCTTGTGATCAGATACAAGGTGAATGGTAAAGTAATGACTTACCTTTGCCATTGAAGGCACCTGGGGCTTGTTAATTTGCTATAGGAATGTTAAATGTCTTGATTTTTAGGAGGTTAAACCATGTAAAAATTAAGTGGAAAATAATATTTGACACTAGCAACTTATATGAGCACCTGCAGCTCTCACAGGGATGGGCAGACAGTGGCTCTGCCCTAAAGCTGCCTTCACAGTTCTTGAATCACCCCAAACCAGGCTTTGCTCCACAGCCTGCTCTCCTGCCTGTGTTTCAGGGATGCCCAAGGGTGCAGGTTCAGGATGGGCTCCCCCAGCCCCACTTCAGTCCCTTTGCTCTCCTCCCTTCACGGTCCATCCCTTGCACCCTGGAGATGCAGCTCAGCTGGCAATTCCCAACCCGACCTCTCAACACAGCCTGGCGTCTCTCCCTCCGGCGTCTCCAGATGCTCTTTCTTTCCCCTTTCACCAAAGGGCTGCTTCTCACCAGCCGCATCTTCCCAGTGAGCCTAATTAGACAGGAGCCTAATGAGAGCCGCGAAGGAGCGGTGAGTCATTAGCCGAAGCCTGTGGGAAGGCCGGGAGCAGCCGTGATGCCGGCGGGGCGGCAGCGTGGGCAGAGGCCCGGGGGGCAGCGGGAGCTCCGCCGGCTGCTGGGAAACAGCATCGGGAAACAGCTCCTGTCTGTGTGTGCGTGTGTAATTCCTCCAGACATCGGGAAGCAGCTCCTGTCTTTGTGTGCGTGTGTAATTCCTCCAGACATGACCCAGAAATGGAGCGAAGGGTGTTTACCCTCCTCCCTGCACCTGCCAGGGAGCCAAGCGGGCCCCAGTGCTGCTGGGCTGGCCTCAGGGCAAGGGCATGGCCGTCCATCTCACCCAGACAGGGAAGGGAGAAACCAAAAGGGCTTTTCCTGGTGGCCCTTAGGGTTTTTTTCTCCATGTCTGGTTTCTACTCATCCGTTTTAGCACCAGCTATCCCCACCATGGAGTGGAGCCAACATCTGGGGCCTGGCTGTCTGCTGGGACTGTAGGGACAAGGAGCCCTGGTGCAGTGGAGAAGAGTGATGGCAGCAATAAAAGGCAGAATTAAAATGTTTGCTTGGGATAAACCCACAGGACTAGGGATAGGTATGATGCCAGATCTTTCTATCAGTCATTAAATCACATTCTGGCTGTAAGTGCCAGCAACTTCTTTGCAAGCACAAGTTGTGCCACCCTGGCCTGGTCACAGACTGTTCTTCCCAGTCTCGGCTGGGAATGGAGAGCTTCCCAAGAGAGACAGAGCTGAAAGCCCGCAAATTACGTGATTCCTGGGCTCTAGTCCTCAGAGACTGTCAGGAAGAATGAAAGGACAGGTTGGGTAGACAGGATCAGTCTTTTTGAACCCTTCCCCCAGCTTCATTTGGCGGGGGACACACAAACACAGAGGGGCCCCTGTCTGTGAGCTGCCCTCAGTGGTGCAGTGTATGCTGGGGAGCGGGAAGTGAGATGTCCAGGCACTGACAGCATGAAAGGCAGGCTTTTTCCACCTAATTGGATCTGTTATTCAGCTGAGAATCACTGAAAGGATTGGGTGGGCTCTGAGCTCGCAATTTCAGTGAGGAAGTCGGGACGTTGCGGCAAACTAGGTCACAGCGCTGCAAAATAGGGTGATGGTTCTGCACGACAGCCGAGGATGTTAAATAAGGAGGAGGTGAAATAGAAAGAAAAGAGAGACTGTGAGGAAGGAAGAATAAATGAGCTCAGCCTTGGCTATTCATTCCCGCCGGAGTCCCTGCTGCTGGCTCCCACCTTGGGGCCCCCAGCATTGCTCCTGTGCCTGGAAGGCACCAGGCTCCTGCTCTGCACTGGAGCAAGAGAGATTGGGCCCAGATTCAATTCCCAGTTGGTTATGGGGAGCTGGGGGCAAAGATTTCTCCTGCTCTTGCAAGCTTAACTCAAACATTGCTCACGGAGCAGCATTTCCACGCATTTCCTGAGCCTGGACTGTCTTCAGAGATTAAAACCTGTTTGGTTTACCTCAAGGGAAAAGGCACATGAGGAAACAGGAAAATAATTTCACGTGAGATATATTGCAAGGAGAATGTGCAATGCTGGGGCATTAATTAATGTGCAGGAGAAGAGGACAAGCCATGGACATGAGGAGTTATGGACATGGATGAATTTGAAAGCATGTTGGATAGCTGGAAAAATGTGCTCCTCTTCTCCAGTTATGTATTTAAATGCCACAGTCGGCCTCTGGATGGATGTGGGGCTCTCTCAGACACCAGAGCTATTAAATCACCAGCTACTCTGCTTTTAATTGACTCTCATGACAAAGGGAGTGGGCTCAGATGATAATTCCCTGCAGGGCTTCACTGCAAAGCAGTATTATTTCAAGGGCAGCTGGGGTCAGGCTGGGAAAATGCATATTTAAAACCCAATAAGGCACTATTAGTTTCATTTAAAGTAGACATACGAGCATCAGCCTTTTGCATCCAGGGACGTTCAGCATGCTCAGGCCCTGGGGATGGAGGTCTGATCATGCCAGCTGCATGCCTGGTTCTACCTCCGAGCATCTCCCTGCCCTCTCCTCCCAAGTGTTTTTTGGAGTGAGAAGCACCCTGTTACTGAGCTGGGGAACTGAGGTGGAGAGAGCTCATGGGCAGGCTCCAGCCAGGAGGGCTGGGTGGAAAGGAGCTGTATCCTGCCCTACAGTTCTCCTGTAGGATTGGGCCTTGCAAAACAAGGGAGGTGTGGGATAAGTCCCCTTGTTCCTCCAGAGATCTCCTGGCACTTCATGGGGAAGATGTCTGAACTCCTGACACCTCACAGTGAGGGCTGGCTATAGAGTGTGGGCTTGTTTCCCGGGAGCCTGGGAACACACAACTCCAGTACCACCACCAGATAGGACTCTTTCCCAAGTGCTTGCTCCCAGACAAAGCTGAGCCTGACCTGCTGAGATGGTGAAAAAGCTCTTTTGAAAAAGGAAAACAAATCACATTTACATTTCTACCCCTGTACCTCCCATTTAAATGCCAGCCCCGCTCTGGCTGTAGCTTTTTTCTGTTACATCCACTTCTATCTCCTGCTCCCCTCTTATTCTGTTGCTGCTAGCCAAGAAACCTTTGTATTTCTCATTACTTTTAATTCCATAGCAACAGGTCGCTGCTGTCACAGTAGCTGCTGATTGCTTTTGAATTGTCTCTCAGGCAAGCTCCAGAATAAATACAAAAGAGCAGGTCTCTGCATGGCTCATATCAAAGCAAGCCTATTGCAAAGCCTCCCCAGCTGCTATTTAAAGTCCCAGAGTCCCATATAAAACCTGAATCAACAAAACTATAGGGTATTTTATTCACATCCCCCCCTCCTCTTTTCCCCGTCTCCTGCTCATCAAACAGTAATTTCTCCCCTGAATTGGTTTCCCAAAGGGGTCTTTAATGAGCTTTTTCTATAGAGCCTTACACTCACATCTACCCAGCTCACATCAGCTAATGCTGCTGCCCACTCAGCTCCTGCAGGCAAGGGGACAGGTTCCCTGTCTCCTTTGCAGCTCAGAAATTCAGGCTCCAAATCCCTTTGAGACCTTGTATGAGAAGTTTTGCTTCCCAAGCCCAACAGCCCCTGCTACAAAGAGGCAAATAAAAATTTGCGTGGTGTCAATTCACTGCTCTGAGCGATGCTCCCACAGTCCCAGCCCTGAGCACAGCTGGAGCTGCTGGTCTTGTAGGGAGGGAAAACCCTCCCAGAGTGTTCCCAGAGCAGGGCTGGATCTCCCTGCTCCTCTGGGAGCTACTCCAGGATGGGGAGAGATGCACATGGAAGAGAAGTGTGGACAGGAGCTCCAGCTGGAAAGCCCATCTCTCCTGTCGATAGGCTCCTTGCTTGGCAGCTGCAGCAGCCAAGAGAAGGCAAATAAGGAAAACAGAAGCATGAATTCTTCTTGTCTTCCTTAGAAATTACTGGCTCTCCCTGAAGGAGTATGGCTGTGTCTGTGTTGGGCCCCTCAACCTATTTGGCAGGTGTTATTAGCTCTGCAGACTTGCAAGTTCTCCTGAAATCATGGCATGGACAAGCTGAGTGAGAGCAGCTGTGGAACAGAGAGCCACATTCTGTCCTCAGGACATGAGGAGCCCTGGACTTTATTCCCAGATCTACCATTAACCTTGGACAAGACGCTTGACACTGTGCCTCAGTTTCCCAAGCACTGAAGCAATAATAATTACAGCTGGGCTGGTTGCTTTGGATGCTGTTTGTGAACCACCCCACGGATCGCCAACCCTGTTATTAGTCCTCGGCCCTGTTATTAGACCTAAATCCAACTTAAGAATGAAGACTCCTGTGAAAAATACACAAACAGTTTCCCAGATCATCATTTTTATTAAAGTTCACAAGCAGCTGAAGGGAAAAAAAAAAAAAAAAAGACTAGAAGATGTAAATAAACGTCATCCAGCACATCGCAGACTGGCTGTGCAGAAGGCGTGTTCTTCCCGGCAGCAACGGGCACCCGCTGCTCCAAAAAGACCTTTGCTGTTTGAAGCTGTGTCAAGGCTTTTCATGGCATTGCATCATTCAGCTGGCCAAGCTACAGCCCGGCCTCATCCAGGGGCAAGAGGCGAGCCCGGAGAATCTGGAGATCTGCTGTGCAGGGAAGCAGGATGCTGGAGCAGTGCAGGACCAGTCCTCGGCAGTGGCCAGCCCCAGAGAGGCCAGTCAGGAGCTGCATCCCTGTACTGACAGCCGAAATCCACATGCCCTCCTCCACAGCAAAGGGAGGAATGGCTGGGGCTGACAGCTCTTGGATGCATAATCCCAAACACAGTTGGCAGCCAGCGTGCGTGGATAACCTGGGGCAGCCTCAGCCCAACTGCTGGCAGGCAGCATGCAGTCAGATATGCTCACATCTCTCCAAGGAGAGGCCAGGATGTGGGGTGCAGCAGGAAGGAGAGGAATCCCTCCCCAGCCCACTCTGCAATGCTACCCTAATCCTCTTCCTCTCCCTCTGAGGCCTTGCTGGAGCCAAGGTGCCCTTTCCCAAGGCACGAGTGTTCCCCACTGCACCCCTTTTTCTGCTCCTTTGCTAATGAGAGCCTCACCCACGCGCAGGGAAGCTCAGCAGACCGGCTCTGAGCATGCAGTGGGCTTTATCTCGGGAATATCTCGGCAGCAGTGCTGCTGCCTTGGCACACTAACAACCCTGTGCTCTTCCCAGCAGCTGTGTGTGGGGAGCTACCCGACCTCTGACCAAATCACAGCAGCGAGGAAAAGGGGGGGAGAAATTTAAAAGGCCCAAAGTACAAACCAAAAGGCATCTGCCCTGTTTTGTCATGGTACCTGGTGCTGCTGGCAGCCATCCCAAGCTCCTATGTTTTATTATCTCAATAGCCATTGCCTCCAGGAAATGGCCAGAGGATGGGGAGAGCCAGGTGCTCTCACCTTGCTCCCTTTAACAAACACTTCCAAGTCACCCAAGCAGCAAGCACTGCCAATAGCAAGTTCACTGCCCTAGAAAAAAAAAAAAGTATTAATCTCTTAACGCCCCCAACTGAGTAACAAAAAGGGCTACTCAGTCATGTTTGGCGAGGGATGCAGCCTCCATCTCCCAGCCCTGCTGGTCCAGAGGAGCCCACAAGCCATCCCTGTGCCCAGTCTGGCAAGGCAGTGCTCTCAGCTCCTTGCCATCCCTGCACGGTGGCCAGTGACCAGTGGTGGGGCTGGGTAGCCCTTGGTGTCCCCCGGCAGGATGCTGGTGGTGGGGCCCCAGCTGTGCCTCCCACTCCCGGTGTCAGGAAGGGATGTGGAAGTTGCCTCGGAGTCCTGCGCAGGAGGACAGGAGACTCTTGGTCACTGTGTCGGCTCCAGCCGCAAGAGAGGGGACATGGAGGTGACTCTGGCATCTGGGGAAGGAAAGAGAAAGCTCATTAACTGGTGTGATGCTCAGCTCAGCCCACACAGGGCATTCACTGGGGTAACCCCCACCCCGACTCCCTGAGGTGGGTGGAGGTGGAAAGCAGCTGGTTTCTTTAGGAGTTGGGGTGTCCTTTGCTTGTGCAGGACAGGAGAGGGGGTCTTCACCTGAGGAGGGCTCAGAGTCAGGTAGCAAACTTTGGTGGACATGACAAGGGAATGAAAAACTGAGGGAAAAGTTTTCACTCTTTTTTTTTTTTTTTAGGGCAGGGAGGAGGGGCAAAAACTGGAACAGACAAAACAAAAAGACCCTTTTTCTCTTTTTCCACAGGTTCCTCCAAAAACATCCGTATCACTGACATTTCCAAGGGGTTGATTAATACAGTCTGGGGCCAAGCTCAGACTGCACATGTTTCCATCTGCCCAGGGTTAGGAAAAGCCTGATTTTCATCGACTTTCCTCCCCAGGCCAGCCACTCCCTTCCAACACTGCCTGATAAACTGGCTTCAGAGACAACCAGCCACTTGGAAAGAGCAGCAGTGGCAGAAAAACTGCAATCCCTGTTTATCCGGCCTCGCTATTATACACATGCAAATGGGTTTCCCTAGGAGCCACTGGGAGAAACCAGCTGTGACTCTGCTCCAGGAATTCCAGCAGGTTGCAAGCAACCACCCACCCCAGCAGCATGCAGGTGAGCAGCAGCCTCTAGGAGCCAGGAGATTATGCTGAGGTTTTTTCAGGCTGCTCTTTGCAGGTACACAGATCTTGGCATGGGAAGGTGCCTTTCTGTGAGCAGGGTTCTATGGATGGAGCCAGGAATGATGGCCGCTGCAAGGTGAAAGCTCTGCTCCGCATGGAAGGGAGCCACACCAGGCAGCTGCTAAACTGTCTTTGCAAAAGGCTTGTTATCTAAGCTGTAATATAATAACCAGGAAGAGCCATGGAATGACCCAATTCCTAGTGTGAGTGTGGTATCAGAATACAGCTCAGGGCCTGGCATGCAGCCTGAATCTTTGCAGGAGCTCTGGGGCCAAAGTTCAGATTTCAAGTGCTAGAACAGCCTCAAAACCCTTCAGCCTCAGTCACTCAGTGCCCACTCAAAGGCAGGCACCAGCTCCTGGTGCCACCCGCAGCTCTCACAGGGGCTAAGTGCACCAAAGGGCTCCAGTGCAAGCCACAAAATCAACTCTGAGCTCCTGGAAGTGTCCCAGCAATCAATGCCCAGCCACCAGCCTCTGGCTCCCTACAGTGAAGATTGTGAGGAGGGTCTTGTACGAGCTAAAAATAAAAAGCACTAGATTAGGAATCTCTGGGAAGGGGAAGTCCTGGCTCCTTGATGCTATAAGGCTCGGATTGTCCTGTTGGATGGGAATTCCAGTATCTCCACCCTAGAGCATTTGAGGCTCAGGAGGCAGGACAGAGGGATACAGTGACTCCCCTTTCCAATTAATCTTCCCTGGCTGGACCATGCAATCTGAAGTGACCATCCCACCCCCATCTGTGACTGTCCCATGCATGTGAGAGTGTAACACAGGACAGATAGTCTGGAAAAGCCACTTTAATGGGGAGACAGGCAGCTTGGAGAACCTGTTCCTGCTGCTGCCTGAAGTCACCTCTGTGGAGGGGTTGAGTTGTCCCCATCAACTGTCTCTGCACAGGACTGTGACAAACCACCCACCACCCTCCCCCAGTCTGAGCTGTACTTGTCTTTATCAACACAGACTCTTTATTAACCGAGTGCTCGTTTGTCATGTTTTGCCTCCCTATGGCTCCACCACCACGGGTGGGAGGGGATGAGGCTTTCCCGTTTCATATTGCTAATCACACTTGATCCCTGGAATTAACTCTGGGTAATAAGCACTAAATTAATGTCACACGGCCTTCTTGGCAGCAATGCTGGGACCTCTGCTGAAAGGTGTCCCCACTCTGTCTCGGAAGGGCAAAGGCCATGCCCTCGAGGAAGCATTTCCAGCTGATCAATTTTATGCTTTGTATGAAAAGCAGCCGGGTGGTTTGTCAAGGACAGACTTTTTGGGTTTCAGGGACCAGTTTATAGGTGGGAGGTTGTTTTTTCCACACGTACAAAGTACTGACTCCTGCCATGTGATTGCCCAGGCCCTTCCCCACCATGCTCTGCTCTGACGGGTGGTTGCTCCAGAGTCTTCCCAGGTGAGGGGAGGCCAGCCTGCCTTCTGAGCATCCCTACTTGAAGAAGGATCCCATAAGGACCAAACCATGTGTTTGAGCAGCGACATTCTATGGTGGGAGCTGCAAACCAGAAAACCCCTCAGTCAGAACTGCAGTAGGATAATGGGGTGAACTGGATCATAGTCATAGGATCTTACAGCCAGTTACCCCAGTTCCCAAGCCCAGTTTTTGCACAGTCAGGATAGCCAAGGCAGGCACATGGGATGTGGCTGCTGCAGCGTGGGCAGCATGTGCACATCAGGGACGTTCACTCACCCATCTTGCTGTTTTATGTATGGAGCTGCCACAGTGCCTGAGGCAGTAACAATAACTTACTAAAAAAAAAAAAAGAAACCCACTCTAAAAAAATCACGTGGACAGACATTCTTTCTGGCAAGAGCTTGCGTGTATTTTAAATAGTTCTTTTAACCGAAAACTGGAGGCAGAGCCAAAAAAGCACATAAAACCCTCACACAGTGACTTTTCACCAGTTTTATTTGCAGTTCCTAGTTTTCTGAGCTTGTGTCAGGCTCCTGATTACAGGGGGGAAAGAAGTACAACCCCCACAAAGCTATTTATTAGGTCTCAACAACCCAAATACAATAGAGGGAAAAAGGTAGGAGAGGAAAATAATATCACTGTGACTTTGAATACTTCTTTATTCAGTAGCTGAGAAATTTACTCCCATCTCAAACTACTCCCTATTCCTACTTCCAGCCATGTGGCTGGTGTTGAGCTTTAATATTCAGATGTATCTGCTACCAGAGAAAATTAATTGTCAGCTCTAGGATGGCTCTTAAAGGGAGGCCCCATTGACCTGAGCTGAAAATGATGGAGTCCTCACAGTCTTTGCTGCAATATTTAATAGCCAAGTGACAGTTAATTAGATTACTGAGCCACTGTGACAGATGCTAGGCAACGCCTGAGGAGGAGAATTTGGAAAGGCCATTATATTCCAGTGTTGCGAACACTTTAAGGTCTCATTTTAACCCTTTCCACTCTTGCCCTGCCCTCGTGGTGGTCCAACCCATGTTAAAACCGAGTGTTTCACAAAGAGCAGCATAATGCCCTGGGTGATTTTTTTTTACCCACTTGAGAAAAGCAGGTGGTCACGTTGGCTGAGGTGCCAGAACTCCTCCATGGTTCCCACCTGGCATCAAAAAAGATGATCACTGGGAGGTGCCGGCAATTTCACTCGCTGAGCGATTCCCAGGCACACCAACCACACCAAGTGGAAAGCAGGGAAGTGAGGGGGTGTTAGAGGGTTTGGGCAGCATTCTTTCTTCCCTGTATTAAATGAAGTGGATTTTGATGAGTCTGTGGAAGAATTTCCCTCCCCACAGTCCCCACGTAACAAATAAAACTAAGTCAAGCTTGTCAATCCCACACCCATACGTGAGGGTTTCCCAGCTCCTTCAGCTGGCTGGGATGTAGGCTGCAACCACCAAAGCTGGGCTGAGTGTGCTGCTGGCACTGAGAAACCTGCACACTGAGCTAGAAGAGGTGCTACTGACTTCCTGGGAAGAGGATGCTATCTAGGTGCTGCCTGTATCACTATCTGCTTTCACAATGCAAATTGAGAAGAGTTTTTGGGCTTTGCCAGGCCAGCTGCATCTCAGCACAGGTTAGTGAGGACATGCAAAGCCCTGTGGAGGCACACTGAAAACCAGAATGGCAACCAAACACCTCACTGGGAAGGAGAGAGGAAGAACAATAAACCCTGTCCCAGGGGCACTGCAGTAGCACCTTCTCTGAGCAAGAGAAAACCGGAGAGCCAGAACGAGACACGACATCATGGGTTTCCACCAAATTTCTTATTCTGACACAACCCAAAACACCAATAAACACATTCTTCTTCTGGTTACAAAACCCCTTCCCTCCCACTCAGGTCTGACACAGAAGTCTCAGAAGTTCTGATTCAACAAGCAACAGTTTGGATGATAAATAAACACCAAGACCATCAAATGCACCATGGCTTCTGTGCTTTTGCTTCTGCTACCCACTGAAATGTAAATACAGAGCATAAAAAGAGAACCAGGATTTTCTGGCATTCCAAGGGTCACTTGCCTACATATTCACCAATTCTAAACACATCACCCAGAAAATCAGCAAAAATATCAAACTACTGAGACATTCCAAAGCACTTGTTGCCCTGGTATCTCCCAGGAGTCACAAATGATTTTAGGAACCTTAACTCCCACAACTGCATGGGAACAGGATGTATTCCATGGTGAGAGCAGGTGTGGACACATCTGCCTACCCACCCACCCACAGAATGGTGATGCTGGCACATCCAGATACCTTGTATGAGAGGGAGATGAGCCCCAACCATCTATGTAGACGTATCTCTTAAGATACTGGGAGGATCATCTGGAAATAAGAGAACCCTCGGAACTATCTAGACTTACACTAGAACCCTGCAGAGCTGGTTTTTCTTTCCTGGCTCTGCATCCCCCTTTTAAATGTTCTCTTCCATAAAATAACCTCATGAGCAACTTGGAACCTGTGGCTTCAGCATGGTGTGTGGAGATACAATCGAGGCAAGATGGTAATTTTAATTTAAGAGGAGTAGACTCTTACCTTCATTGACTTCCTGGAAAAAAGCCCCGAAGCCCTGCCCCTCATCACGAGGGCAAGTGCTTCCAGGTGCTGACAAAAGCTGTGGGGATGAGCGAGTAAGGCACGGTGGTGATACAGTTCCATGTGTCTGACATAGGGTCATAGCAGTCCAGCGTTTTGCACCTCTGAGTGCCAAAGTAACCTCCTACCACATAGAGTTTGTTCCCCGAGGCCAGGGCGTGGCAGGACATGCGCTTGGCCGTCATGTCCCCGATGCGCGTCCACTGGTCCGTCTCGCAGTCGAAGCGGTAGGCGGAGGCTGCCGTGAACTCCGTGTCTCCTCCCATGATGAAAATCTGGCTGCCCAGGACAGCGGCCGCCGTGTAGCGCCAGGGCTGCGGGCACTCGGCTTTGATCGTCCATCGGTTCTCAGCTGGATCATAGCACTGGACTTTGGACACCATGTCTCGGTGGATGCTGGTCCCACCGAACACAAAGAGCTTCAGCCTGGCACTCACCACCGCAGCGTTGCTCACTCCATCTCTCAATGGAGCTACCATCATCCACTTGTTGGATATGGGGTCGTACTTCTCTACTTGCTTCAAGGAAACAGAAGGAGATGCAGGGAAGACTCCAGCTACTGCAGTGTGTCCACCAACTACATACAGGCAGTTTTCCAATTCAGCTGAGCCGTGCCCAAACCGAGCAATTAACATCGGGGCAGCTTTGGACCACTCCTCATGCACTGTGTCATAAACCCAAACATCTTTGGAGACTCCATTCTCTGAGCCTCTGCCTCCAGTGATGTACACTTTGCAGCCAATGGCACAGGCGCTGAACTCCTTCCGTGGACTTGGCAGGTCTGCTTTGGGAATAATTTCCTTTGCTTTGTGATCCACTTGGTAGATCTTATCACACATGAAGGTCTGTCCTCCCAGGATCAGTAAGGTGTGCCCAGCTTTGCGAGGCCTGGCACAGGGGCTGGTGACCACTCCATCATTCTGGAGGATCTTCTTCTTGCATTGAATAGCTTCATCCAGGACGAGCTTGTTCCTTTCATCCACCATGATCAAGTCCTCGCAAGCCAAGGCTTCCTTGAGGCATTCAGAAGGAAGCAAAGCCAGACGAACATTCCTCAGAAGTTCTGGGAGATAAGCCTTCCGCTCATCCAGATCATATTTCACCCACTGCATGACAGCCCTAAAGACCTTTTCTTCATCCTCAATTTCCAGCTCATCACTGGAGATGAGGTCCAGCAAAGTGTCCTTGGAAAGGTTGTTGAAGTCCTCACTCTTGTGAACAGTCTCAAAGTTGACTAGGCACATCCTCCAGGAGAGCTCATAGAGCCGCCGGCACTGATGAGCATCCGAGAGCAGCATCATGCCCAGGCAGTTGGAAGGGTAGAGATTCTTCTCCAGGAACTCGGCCGCTGCATCTCGGACGTCATGGAACTGCAGCATGTCCCCAGCCTCCAGGAGGGACTCAGCATTCTCCTCGTTGATAATGATCCGAGAGGAGTAAGCAAAGTCCAGCAGTAGCTCCAGCACCTCCGGGTGGAGGCTGTCACGGAAGTTCACCTCGTCATCCAGGCTCTCCCGGAGGCCATTGCTGAACATGGCTTCGAAGTACCTGCTGGAGGCAGCCAGCACTGCCCGATGGCACGGGAATGACCTGTTCCCTGCCCACAGGGTGACATCGGTGAACATGCAGTGCTTCCGCAGCGTGTTCAGGTGGGACAGGACGCAGTCGGGGTGGGAGGCCTTGTGAAAAAGCAAGATGTTCATGGAGCCGGTGCTGGTGCGGGATTTCCGGTTCTCGTGGACGCTGACAGACATGGTGGCAGAGCTCTTGCCTGCAGGGAGGCAAACACAGAAAAGATTATTATTGATATAAGGTGTGGAGAACACATGCATTTGCTATCCAACCCTGGTACACTGCCAGTCGACCTCAAAGCACCAGGTGACATCTCCGTGGCTCCTGCTTTATGGCCAACCCTTACACTCCCGCACCCTGGCTTGCACAGCCCTTTCTTCTTGCACCCTCACATCCTCCAAAAAATTTAACTCAGGCTGAGGAGGGTGGGAAGGCAGAGTGGGGTGAAGGGGGAAATTCTGCTTTGGTTTCAACAAAGGAGCAACAAAGTGAGGCAATCAAACCCCAAACTTGGTGGTGGATTGTTTCAACAGCCCCCAGAGGGTATTGGCAAACCGCAGAAGAGTTATTTTTCCTTAGAAAACAGCATTGAGAGAGCAGACTATCCAGGATAAAGGGCATTGGTCTGTTCTTGGCTCAGCAGAAATCAAGTTTGGCTTCTGATTTTCACGTAGATTATTCCAGGTTTAGGAAAGGCAACTGCTACAGTTTTTATTTACGAAATATTTAATTACCAGCAGAAGCCAAAAGTTTGAACCAATTTTACCAAACCCATTTGTTGCACTTTTTGATGATAAAACTCACCAGACACCTCATGAGATTTAAACATCTTTCAGGACAGATTCTATTCAGAATAAGACAAAAGAAAGACATAAATTATGTTTTTTTATCAGACAGGCAGAATCAGACACAAGGCTTTTATAAGGCTACTATTTCACTTCAGTGCTACCTGACACCAGTCCTTGCCTGTAGAAGAAAACCCCTTTGGACTAATCAAATTAATACTACCTAGATGATAAAATCCAAGTCATTTACTCCAAAATACTTTATACAGCTGTATTTTGTTCCCCATGTAACTAAAGCAGACAGATACATATTCACAGTCCTCTCTTACAGAAGTTAATACAGAAGCTGTCTGGAGGTTTGAAAAATGAACCTGAAAAAATCAAAATGGGGTCAACCTTCACTCGAGTCACTGAATTGTTTAAACAAGACAGTTGGGGAAGGATTTTTAGATGGGTTCTTTTTGTTGATGTTGGTTGGATGGGTTTTTTTTAAACTTTCGCTTCACAGGCTGAGATTTCTCAAGGGTCTTTCCAGCCTGCAAACACAAAGTCTGCAGATGAGCCCTGTCCTCCCCAGCCAGCACTGGGGTCTTGGAGGAAACCACAAAATGCTGAGAGAGCGGACACAGCGCTCCCAGGCTGCTGGCAGGTCACAGCCTTGACCTGACAGTGACCTGGAGCTGCTCAACCCTCCCACACTCCATGGGCGGATGACCTCAGGAGGAGGCAGATGGCCAGATAAGCTGCCTGACTCAGGCTCTGCTCATGAGCTTCCTGCCCCTGCTTCTCCAGCACCTCGAGAAGAGTCTGAATTAGACAAATAGCTGTGGGCATGTTGCTCCCTCCCCACCCTCTGCCAGGAGTTACTGAGGTTGGTCTTCTCAAGGCCTCACTCATTCCTCAGGGCTGTGTCACAGTCCAGAGAAAAGTATCTGTGCTTCTCCATGCAGAAGCAACAGCTTGCCCAAGCAGTCACAAGTCCTACTCAGCCTCCGAGTCAGGGGCAGGAATGCTGATGTGGGTAATTGGGTTGGTTATGTCCATGTTCATGTCCATGGCCCAAACTCCTGCAGCCTGACAAGCTCATTGCACTCGTGACTGGAGGCTGTGCAGAACCAAGGCTCCAAAACAGGAAGGAAAATGCCATTACAGAACAGCACTTTGAAGTGCATCTGAAGGAAATGTTTCCAACATCTACACCCAGCACAGGAACAACGCTAATTTAAGGGGTTATATGGATTCCCATGTCAACGCCAAAGCGAGGAATACAAATGAAACATTTATGAGTCTGCTAAAAGCTATTGATTTAGGTTCCTATTCCTACAACCTCAGAAACCACCCTGCCACTGCTACTGCTTTCTTTGCTCACGGCTCAGGTCAACTATTCAGTGTTAACCTTTGATTTGCTTATGCACAAAAAAAGAAGCAATTTATATAGGACAGCTATGGAAACAAACACAGAGACTGCAGGAAGGCAGCAATGATTTTTCTGACACTAAGATTAAAAGCAACTACTCAGAATGGAAGGAACAGATCATTTAGAAATTGAAATGCCTGTATAAAAGCTGCAGCAAAGCATTTTTTATATATACATACGTATAAGGACACATACATATATTTCAAATCTCAGGCTTCCATCATCAAATATCTATTCCAGGGAACTTGGAGGTAAATAATATTTCTATCCTATACGTATTGAAAAATATCCAGGGAATAAATTAGCAGGTTGCAGCCCAGTTCCCAGCACTGCTCTTTCTATCATGTTGTCACTACAGGCACCAACTGACCCCCAGTGCAGCTGGAATTCTGAAAGCTAAAGAGGCCACAGTCACAGCCCCTTTACTTGGCCTCTCCTGGAGCAGGGTTAAGATACTGGATGTCACTGGTCACAGACAAGCAGGGCTAGACAGACCATTAAACTGAAACTAAAGCCTCTGGGGTGCAGCCATCTCACCAGAAAGCCTTGCTTGTGGTTTTCAGCAACACCTAAACAGCTTTTTCTGAGAGCTTTTTGGATCCTGCCACAGCTGGGCACAAGCAGGAAAGTGGCAGATACTAATCCTTCCTCTCACAAACTCCCCTCACTTCATGTCTCAGTCTACCAGAGACCTTGGCATCATCTCACCCATATCAGACAAACAGAAACTGCAGGCAGCAGCTACTTCATCTGGCAGGTTTCTTCAAAAATGTAGCAGCTGACAAGTCTCAGAAGCCTGCAGGCAAAGTGTCTTCTAGAATTCCGTGATTGTGCACAGAAGTGCTTAGATTTAAGCCAAGTTTAACGGCAGCCATGAGCAGGCTGGACCTGTGACACATGCACTTCTCTGAAGCAGACACATGCAGAGCACAATCTGGCCCCTACCACACCCCTTGCTCCCTTACCCAACTACTGAGCTAAAGAGAAAAAGCAGAACCACTCTGAATGAGGAGTATATTACATAAAGCAACTTGTCAGTGGCCCCTGCCAAGGTCCCACCTGCTCTGTGAGAGCCCGGGGGTTATCAGAGCTCCCAGCTGCATCTTCCATCATGCAGGAAGCTGTTGCTGGAACAGCCTTGTCAATGAGAACAGCAGAAGGCATGATCTGAACAAACTGGGGCTTGAATTTCTCCACACTGCATTCATTTATTTTCCTTCGAAAGGCAGTTATTGAAAAAATAAGTATCCACTGCATAACCTTTTAAAGGGATCTTACTGCACCAGAGGCAGATAATAATCCTTCTTCCATATGGATGAGGGCAGAGGGGCATCAGCTTTTTGACAGCTATCCAATGCTGTCTGCTGGCTGTAGTACTCCCCTGGCTGTCTGCAGCCTTTGTACAGCCAGGATGGGAAAGACAGGTTTTTTCCAGCAGAGCAAGATAAGGTTGCTTTGAAAATCCTTCCACTCATCCAGACAGGGCAGACAGCACTCCTGAAAGAAGGAAGGAGTTGGCTCCAGAAAAAAAGACCCCTCAAATCTCAGCTCATGAAGAAAACACCCCAGCAGTCTCTCTGGACAGGACAAAGCTTGCAAAGAGAACAAGGGGAAAAACAAGCACAGAGCTGGCCAAACTCCCCACACAAAGAACCACAGATCTCCAGTCCGAGTGCCTTTTGCTTCCTACAAACCACACCCCAGCAGAAGACTTTTCCTCCCAGGCTGATGGGTCACCCTTTCAGAGCCCTGCTGGAATGGTCCTTTAGCAGAACCTCGGGAGACACTCTATTACCTCCTGAAAAATCCAAGTGCCTTTTAAGACAGATACTCTGAAGCTGTATCAGGCCCTGTCCCCAATCAGAAAAGAACTGCATATGAGAGGACAGCTCAGGCTACTGATACATAAACTATATTTAGCGAGGCTTGGGGTTCCCCCTTCATCTCAAACCAACAGGCTCTCCACAAATCTCCAATTTCATTCACTACCTGCAGGGAATCACCAGCTGAGATCCTGCTTACTTTCAAGAGGACAAGATTTGAGACAGATTAATATGCTCTCCAGTGGGACTTCAGGGGATCAAGAATAATTTCTGCTTCGAAGCACAAAACTACAGGGTTTATAAATGTTCTCCTGAGATCATAAAGGCTGCCTAAACACCAACAAAGACCCCAAGATCTATGATCCAATGCTGGCACTTTCTGTTTTGCCCATGACAGAAGCAGCAAACAGAACACATTTCTTTTTGCCCCCCCAGTTCAACCATGAACTATTTAAAGCTGTCAATAAGTAAATAAATAAGCAGTAAGGTTCCTTGCTGGCTCAGCTCAGAAAACCTGGATGAAGCTGCTCACACTGCAGGAGAGTTTTATTCCCAAGAAGCCATATGGGCCCTCTATGCATGGGCTGCATACATACAACATACAGACACTCCTTCCAAACGAGAGCAGACCCATCTGGAATGGCCAGTGACAGCAGGCATAAGATTCATCTTTATGTTCTGTCCATCTTACAGTATCAACCCTGTGGGGTGAAACACTGTCTTGAATTCAGTCAGAAGTTTAACTTCTCCCTGAAAGCTGTGGGATCAATTCTCTACTATTAGTGATGTGCCTACTCTTTCATCCCAAATATCTGTACCTTTCCAATGCTCGCACAGACTCCACCACCTGGTGCTTAGGCCAGCAGCACTATCCCAGGCTAAAATTACTGCTACAGTAATTTTTTATTGTAGAGACTAGCAAAGTAGAAATTTAACAGTCACCTACTGTGCTGTCTTCACAGGGAAGATCTCCTTGCAAAACTGCTTAGGAGAAAGAGCAGTGAGGCAACATGCTGTCAAATGCAGAGTCAGATACAGCTGTGTTTCAGATGCAATTTCCCAGCACTGGAGACCATCAAAAGGTTTGAGAAAGGGGATCTGTTACATGCAGGCATTCACGTACTCAGAGGCAGCTTGAGCTTCAAAAGGCGAAAAAAAAAAACAACAGAAAACAGGAAAGGATGGTGGGGGAGAGACAAAAAAACAAGAAAGGGGAAGGAACAAATGTGAAGATGTTTTCAGATGATTTTCCTGTCCTTGCATAACACAGAGGACTGTCAGGTACACAGCTTGGAGCTGCTTGAAATGCTCAATACTAATAATGCTCTTCTGTCAAGAGTGCTTGAGATGAAAGGAATTAAAATTGCACCTGGCATTTAGTGCAGCACCACACTTGTTGAGTGTGGTGCCTGGGCTGCTGCCAGGTGGGCAGCACAGGACCTTCACTACATCATCTCCCAGGCATGCCCTCTGCTCTGTCCACACTGAGTGTCTGCATGCAGACTTTGCTCTCTAATAAGTTGGGTTCATCTTCAGCCATTCAGGTGAATTTAGTGGTTTGTCTGTGTCAGCCAAATTTGTTCCTGTTCTCTTCAGGATGACTAACACAGCAAAGATGCAACTGTATTCTGCAGGTTGGAATTCAGACAACGTAACTGATGTGAATCAGAGGGTATCACTCTGGATTTGTCCTTCCTGAAAAACTCTTGATGTTTCACCAGATTTGAAACAGGCAAAGCAGATTTGAAAAGGCAGCTGACTCCAAACCCCAGTGCAGAATTTCTGATCCTGCCCTAGCCTTTGAGACTAGGAGGTATCCTTATCATTTCTTCTCATTTTCTCACTTCCTAGTCTAGCCTGTACATTCTAGACAGAAAGCAGAGGAACCATGTGAAAGGCTCCTTCTGTTGGCTCAGACAGAAACTGGGAGGTTTTCCAAGCCCAATTCTGTAGGCTCCAGGAATCAGACTGTCTGGAGAAGATCCGTGTACATATCTGAACGTTTTGAAACTCAGTCTGAGTTTCATATCCCACTCATATTCTCATATCCCATTCTCAGCAGTACCTACCATTCCCCCTTTAAACCCATGCTCCACTCTGAATCTAAAGCTACCACAAGAATCTCCTGAATGCCACTTACTTGATAGAAAACCAGAACATTATTGCCAAGCTGAACCAATTAGTGAGATTCTTGTTTTGTCTCGCAAAAGCATTGGTAAAAGGGGCTGTAGTGCCTCAAATCTATGACATGCACTCATCTGAGTCAAAGGCAACCATGCTCCAACTACAATAAAAATAGCTGTAGGAAATCCTCTTTGCATGCAACCCATGCAGTTCTATTCACAAATCGGTATTGGACTGGCTGCTCTGTAGCTGAGATACTCCAAAAAGCTTCTCTAGCTACCTGTGACACAATCAAATAAAGTTCATGTTCACCACTAAGCACACTGGCTTTGCTGTTCCTGGGAACACCACGCCCTCCTACCACCACTACCCAAATCGGGATAAATAATGCTTTTAGCCACAGTCAGGCTCCAGACAATAGCTTTTCACTGCTACGCCTTAACCCCAGCTGATCTTTTCAGAGCCCATGATTCATTTCAGAGGCTGTGGTGGGGTTTTGTCCTTCCTGCTGCCCTCCAGCTCTGCTTGTGAATACATCCCATTCTGCCAGATCAATCACAGGCGCTTTGCAAAATGAATGGGGGCTGCAGAGGAGGCAAAGAGAGTTCACAATCCCCTCTTCCAAATTATACCCAAAAAGGCTCCAGAAAAGAAAAAGTCTACTTGATTGCAGTACCTAACCCAGCCCCATCTGGGCAGGATAAAGTCCTTTTCAAGCAAGCCAAACTTGCTAATGTGCTGCAAAGGCAAAAGCCCTTTGGTACTTCAAACACAGAGGAACCACATGCCACTTCCCAGGGAGAGTTTAGGAGATGAGATGTGGTATACGTCAAATTAATGCCAGAATAACCACAGCAGCTGCTGACTGCAGAGATCTTATTCAGATCCTCCCACTCTTCCAGCTCTGAGGCTGGCAGAGCCGAGTGCTCCGGTGGCCAGGCTGACCAAAAGCCCTGTCACGGATGCTCACACCAAACAGGTCTGTCTGCCTGCCTGCTGTCAGGGCAGGATTTCAATTCTGGGCCTGGCTAGTTAAGATGGGGTTTTGTTTTGTCTTCCCCACTCCCCTGCCAAGCAGGAGATCATGGTACAACTGCCAGGTTTGGTTTGCTCATTTGCAATTCTGGCTGGATTTCAGAGCCACAGAGATGGGAGGCCCTTACGCCTCCCGAATGGATTAGCCCCTCATGCTGCTGGGCATGGGGAACATCCATTCCCAACTGGATTGTAAAGCACTGACACATATTGAAGGGTCTGGGGCTGCAAGACAGGGCATTGCTTATTGTCTCCTGGCTCTGGACACAAGGAACAAAACACTCTTTGATTTTTTCATTTTGGTACTCGCACAGCATCAAACCACGCACTCAGTCTGGAAGTTCTGTGCCACTGTGGCATCCTTGCAGCAGCCCAGGCTGTCCTGGGCATCCTGCACACTCTGCAAGCAAACCAGAGTGATTGCCATGTGGTACAGTAATAAATTTGCCTTGCCACAATGTGACAGGCTATCATATAAAACTGGTAGTCTTTGCAAAGACTAATGGTCAGCAAGTAGACAGCAGTTATGGGACATGCAACATTCCCAGGCTCAAGCAATGGGAGAAAGACAGAGCTGTCTGTTCTGGGTGGAGTGATACTAATAGTCACTGTGGGGATATAAAGCTGATAAGCAAAGACAGAGTGATGCGATGGTGGTTAAAGGTCAGGCCAGGGGGCTTGAGGGTGGCTTGTTTACAGCTAAATGCTTCCTAGCCAGCATCCCTGCAGCCACTGTTTTCAGCAATGCCAGCTACACTCACTGCAATTCAACTACAGTCTGTGAAAGCGGGGAGTAAATCTAGCCCTCAGTTCAAGTGCTGACACGGCTCCAAACCTGCCCTTTCCTCAGTCCCTGAGCACAGTGAGCAGCCATGGCTGGCACGGACACCCTGGGCCAGCTCTGCCTGTGCTACTCCACCTACTCACACCCAAGCCAAGGCACTGCTCAACACTCTTTTGTAATGCTGCCATTTCCATCCCCACCTTGCAATTCTGCCTGTCCTCTTCCACCTCCATAGATGGACAGATCCTGCCCTTCCTGTTTCGCTCATCCACCTCCTAAACACTGCCTAAAACCTCCTCTGGCTGCTAAGAAGGGCCTGAACTCCTGCAGGCTTTGGGGACGGTTGGTCACCACCATAGAGACAAAAATGCTATCATAATTCACATGTGCATATGTACACACAGATAGGCACACACTCCTTATCTCCATACCAGACCATTTCCAGCACTCCCTCCAGAGCCAAAAGAACCATTTTATGGATCAGACTCATGCTCATTTTCACACATTTGTAATACGTGTTATGCAACATCTTGCCATCTGTCCCCAAGCTGTCACCTTCACAAATTTCTTTTGTCTTGTTCTTTCAGCCAAATCATTTTCAACTGGCCTTAACTCCTCTGCAAAAGCACATGTGAGACACCAACCTCTCTGCTTGAGTTACTTGAGCCTGCCCCAAACACAGCAAGAAAGAATACCACGCTCTGCACACATGCTGAGGCAGGAGGACTTCAGATAACAATCCTCAAATACTTGAGAAAATGAACAAGAAAGGAATGGAAAATTTAAGTTCTTCAGTGCTGAAGCTGCTTACAGCCTCCCATGTCCACATTATGGTGTAATTCTGCAGCGATTTTCACTCTGTTTTTAATTCTGAGAATCTCGTGCCACTTCACACCTTCCTGTTGCAGAGCAGACTTCCACCTATGCCTCCTCCCCAAGTCCTTTACTTGGGCTTATCATAAAGATAAGCCAGAGCAGATGGCTGGGGTTAAAGACACAAAAGAGACAAAATATGTTTTTAGATAAGATTTGATTTGCAGCAGAAAACAGGACCAGGGAAACAGAGAGGCCCCAGAAAGGGTCCCATAGCACCAAGGAGTCAGACTCTGAGAGACGGACAGAGAGCAGAACATACAGCAGAGCCCAGGAGCAGAGACAAGAAAGTAGAGAAGAACTCAGAACTCTGGATGGAGATGGTCACCAGACCAGCTGAGCCAACAACAGCAGCTGGCCACCACCAGAACACATGGGCTGTGTCACACATCTCGGGTTGCTCCTAAGGTAACTTCAATAAAAACAAATGTCACAATTGCAGGAAGGAAGAAGGAAAAAACAAGGGAAGTTGTCAAAGTATAAAGGTTACGGAGCTGCTTGTTTTTTTGTTGTGGCTCTGGATCTGTCCTAGAGAGTAAGAGGTACATTTGGAGGAAGGCTACAAAAGCCCACAGCAGCCTGGCTGAGGAAATCATTCCAGCAGATCACAAGAGAACACACGCAGAGATTGCCAGGAAAGGAAAACAGAGCAGTCATGACACTGAGACTCTCCACTGGGATAGGATGAAACATTCAGCTGTCTGCTTATGCAAGGCTGAGGGCAAATTTTCCAAGCACAGGTCTGGCCGGTCTAATCCCCCTACCCCAACAATTACAGGTGGAGAGATAAAGAAAGTAAAGACAAAAAAAAAAAAACTTTAGAAAACCCAACTACCAAATAGGCTCTTAACTTTTTTAAATGCAAAGGGGCCTGTGAGGACAGGAGGAGGAAGAACTATTTTTCTCTGTCAGCTCAGCTCAGTCACTCACACAAACCTGCTCACTTCTCTAGACAGGCTTGTTCGAACTGATTTCATCAGAGGCCATGGAAGTTGTGTCCCTTGGAGTACAGTTTTGAGAGACATATATAGGGACGAAAAAGGGGGAGAAAAAAAACAAAAAGCAATGCCACCTGGCTTTCACATTCATGAGATTAATAGCTGAGGTTTAATTTTTTTTTTTTGCTTTAATAGTGAAAAGATCTTCCCCTCCCTAAACCTTTCCCTACCGCTTCCTGCCTATGGAACACGATGCTCCAAGCCCCTAGGGAGCCCCGGGCCGGTACCGGGGGCAGCACTTACGGTCCCTCCTGTCGAGGGCCGGCACATCCCCGCCCCCGCGGCTCCGAACCCCGGCAAGCCGCTTGCTCGGAGGGGGTCTGGCAGCGGCGCGCGAACCCAGATCTGGGGGAAAAACACTCACCGGCGCTTGGCTGAGCCGAAATCTCCGTGAGCCGCGAAGTCCCCAGCGCTGGGGGGCGGGGATGCAGGGGGCGGGGATGCAGAGATCGGGGATGCAGAGATCGGGGATGCAGAGATCGGGGATGCAGAGATCGGGGATGCAGGGCTGGAGCGCGGAGCGGCCCCGGCGCGGCCCCGCGCACAATGTACCCGCCGGGCGGGCCCGGCCGCGCGTGGGACCGCGGGGGCGGGGCCGCCCGCCGCCGTGCCACCAATCAGCGAGGGCAGCTCCTGTGACGTGTCCTTTCGCCACGCCCCCATGCGGGGGAAGCGACCAATAGAAGGGCGGGAAGGCGGTTTGTGGGCGGGGCGGGTCGAGCCGTCGGCTCCGGTTCTGAGGGCCGTCTTCCGCCGGGTCGGCCCTGCCGAACTGCGGCCGCTCGGGCCGGGCCCCGCGCCGGTAGCTCCGTGGCTCCGCGGGGGAACGGCCCCCGCTGCGCTTCTGCCCCGTGTGGCGCCAGCCCTGCCACGAACCCGTCCCCTCTGCCCCGGCTTTTGCCGCCGCAGAGAGCGCACGGCGGGGTCCTGCCCCCGCGTGTCCCGCAGGATGGGCACCCCGCGGAGCGATGTCCCTGTGTGTCATTCAGTCACTCGCTCACTCACTCGCTCACTCACTCACCTACCTACCAACGGCACGCCCACGCCTGCGGCGGGACAGGGAGAGTCAGCGAAACCCGGCTAAAATTCAGGCAGCTTGTTGAAATCGCCGGCCTCAGCAGAATTTCGGTGCGTGGGGGATGTGAAGGTCAACGGGCCCACCCGCTGCCTGCAGGGAGCGGAGCCTGGGAGCGGAGCGGGACCGTGCCCCTGCGTGGGGACCACCCGCGGTCGGTGCCGTCATCTGCAAGGAGCGGGGGGAGCGTGGCCGTGCTGCCTTCAGTAACAGTGTGGGCTGAAGCTGGGAAAAAACCCGCTCGTTTAGAAACAATAACATTTTTCAAAGCAATAACATTTTCGCATAACACCAGAGCAGCTGGAAACAGCAGTGCCTCCGATCCCACCCGTGTTTTCCAAGCCCTGCTCTGGAGTGAGGCACAGCAGGTAACTGCGGACCTGCCCCATAAAGTAATTTCACTGTGAATGGCTGTGCCTTCCCTGGGGTTTGTGGAACGCTTCATCTACCAGAAAAAAAAACAAGCTGGAAGCTTTCTTTGGTTTCACAAATTTTAAATACACAGAGGAGGCAGGGAAGAGCTGCTCACCATCTTCTCTCACGACCCCATTTCTCCAGGGCCCTACTCCCTATACACAGTCACAAATGTTCAGTAGTAAGAGTCAAGTGAAAAACTAGCAGCTCTGTTAAGTGTATCTCCCCAGATAATGGTTGGATGGGAATATCCAGTGTTGAAACTCCCATACAGTCAGGGATGCACTGTTTGAGGGCTGCTCCTTCCAACCTGGTAAAGGAAATCTCCCCAGTTTTCCCACCGAAGTTACTACCACTCCTTGTCCCCATGACGAGCAGTAGTGACTCCATTGAAGTGCTGCCTGTATGACCAATTTTACACGGTGTGGGCATGGCAGGTTGGAAGGTTGCTGCTACGAGGATATATTGAAACAAAAGTTCCCATAAGTACAAAATACAGTCCTTTCTTCACAGCTTGAGACAGAAGGTCAACTACAGCTGGCACAGGCTGTGCATGGTAAATAACAAAGTACACTGAAGATATTGAACTGAATCGAATTCCTGTTTTGGTTTTGGTTTTTTGTTTTCTGGGTTTTTTTTTTATCTGTGTTGTTCCAGGGCATTGCAATTTAACTCTTAAGGTGCTGCTGCCTTCTCAACCTCAAGCCCAGCTAGTCTTGAGGAGGCTGAAAATTGTCCGAGAGCCTGCTAATGACTTTAATGAGCTGCTTAGGAAGACAACAGGGATTTGTGCAATAGGTGGGTGTGGTGGCATCCTGAATACATCTGTAAAACAACAAAAACAAAGACAAAATTGCTTTTCCCTACTCCTGCTGTGTTCCACCCAGCTGTTCCCGAGTATGAAGGATCGGGGAGAAAAGCAAGGTCACATTTCTTAATTCCAAACCACTTTCAGAGTGTTACTACAAAAGTCAAATGCTGTCCCAGCAAGCTGCGTGTGAACCCAGACTATCATCTGCAACGTGGCAGGCAGAATTCTGGCAGCTGCCTGTCCTGGGGGCACACAAAGCTCAGGAGAACTCCCTGCAAAACTCCACCTGAAAAGACACTTCAAAACCATGATGTCTATCACTAATCTCCACTCTCCAGCTTCTGAGCTGTAATTCACTACTCTGTCTGGGGCAGAGCTGAACAGAGGGCAGTCCCAGGAAACTCTGCAGGAAACATCCTGTGCTGTAGCAGTGCACACATCTGGTGTTAAGATGCTCAGGCTGATGGGATTAGGATATTTGCTTTTGTTCCGAGGCAGCAGCAGAAGGCCAGATATGGCAGTGATGGGCACACCAGACACACAGACTGGCAACCTGCTCCTGGCTGTGAAGGAGATGCAGAGCCAGACATCTGAGAAGGCAGGGGCAGCACAATAGGAATACTTAACAGAAAAGGAAAAAAAAAAAAAAACCTGGCAGACATTTTTAAATGTTTTTAAATCTCTTCGTAAAGAGGATTTAAGAATGAGGCTTATGTAGGGGAAAGAAGCTTAATTTATGATGAATGTTAATACCAGCTCCTTACATATGGTACTGGCCTCAAGCATCCCTGAGGGTTTTTGAGAGACTAGTGCTGTGGTTATGATTTCAGTGTATAGGGGAAACTCTCTTGCATTATTAAACAAATCATGCCCTGCATTGCCCTATGGTTTGATGTACGTGATGCATAGTTGATTTCAGCCAGCTGGGGAGACTGGACTCTGCAACTTGTTAGCATTTTGAGAATAAGTTGGAAAACTGCTGACTGAGATCCCTTCCTTCATCATGAACCATCAGAGTTATTATTTTTTTTTTTTAATTTGGGGAAAAAAAACCCAAACCCGAAGTTTTAAATAATAGCATTTACCCTTTGGCTATATTTGTTTAGCATAGCATTCATTATGATGGAAAATGTAAACATTTGCAAAGTTAAAAGTTTGATTTGACTACAGAAAACTATTCTGTTTGTTATAGAAATCAGCACTAATTGCCTGTTTCCCATTAAATCCTCACTTTCCCAAAAATGGAGAGTCAAAAGATTTACCCTAGCCAGAATTCACTAGCTGGCTTTACCCATTTATATCATGGAGCTGGATCTCCTGATGTAGCTGACTAAGCAGGTGATGTTCATTGAAGTAGGAGGGATAAAATCTGGCCCACAAACCACGTTGACTTCCTTGCATCTATTTCTGTTTTTCCCTGAACGTTCCCATCCTATAACCCTGCTCTCCACTGGCTTAAATAATAAAATTAATGTTTTCTCCTCTAGGTCACTGTTTGAAGTCCATCACAGGTCATGCTACAACCAGCTAATGGCTGCTAAGTGGTCTGTGTGAAATTAGTTTAGTGGGTCTCCAGCCAGAAGCCAGTTGAAAGATGCCCAAAAATCTCCAGTTGGCTTCTTCATTGGCAGTCACGGCAGATTGGTCAAGGCCATGCAAATTCAGCGTTTCCCCAGGGCCAGGAGCAGATACAAGGCTGGTTGTGAACACTTTCCTCTCTTGTGAGTGCCAAAAGTCTCTAGAGAAGGTCACAGCACAATGCTGAGTGCCAGTGCCTGAGGACCTTGCTATCACCCCAAATTCAGCTCTCCAGGGAACTGGCAGTAGTAAAAGCAGGAAAAGCTGCTGAAGACTCCTTGCAGAGGCAAGGGCATCAAGGAGAGGGTGCAAAGTGGTCATGGGAGTCTTGATGGAAGGTTTCACCTTTTGGCTTGTCCTGCACAGGAGTGCCAGCTGCAGAGCTGCCAGTCAGACTAAACTAATTTAGCATTCCCTGCAGTAACAATATAAATCCTATCTCCCTCCCTCTCCGCCTTTTCCTCCTGATGCCAAATTTAAACAACTTCACTTTTTTTTGGCAGCAGGAAACTTCACAATTAAATATAGAAGCAGAGCACACTTTGGGATGGAACTTCCAGCCAGGGAACAACAGATGGCATTGTTTGCTGGGCTGGAAAAGCTGCATCTGCTCCTAGAAGAAATGCTAATCACGGCTTAATTAGGCATTCAGAGGGAACTGTATCCCATCCCCCGGACAATGGCTATGTGTACATGAGCTTGAAAAATACAGGGAAGAAGATACAAAATCATCAAAAATCCTCAGTGGACCAAGTCCAAATTTGGCACATAATGTGATAGGGTATCCCAGAGACTTTCCTTGTGCTGAAATCCATCCAAGCCACTCAAAATAAAAATGTAGTTGTCAAAGACTTATTTTGTTTGCAAGTGGTCAGTGATTTTGTTTTCAGTTTCAAAGCAAATGATTCCAGCCTAACACTGGAATCAGATCCTACCCTGGCAGCTCTCTGACTTGCTGAGGTGTGGCAAGATTAAAGGGTAGCTGAGATCTTATAGCAAGTACTGCAGATGGGGATAGAAGAGTTAGAAAGATCAAAAGCACACACCTTTCCCAGGATAACTGATCCCTCTATAGAAACATGAAGTAAAGAGGAGGATGGTGGAAAACGTCCCCCAGTTCATTCCAAGTGGGTGTTCAAGCATAAAAGGAGTCCTATGATGTGCAGTGCCTGTACATGTAAGGACATTGTCCCTCCTTCGTTCCCTCAGCCCTGCCAGCTTCCTCCAGAGGTGCAGGCAGGCAGGCAGAGCTCTGTGTCCTTGTTTCAGCATCTTCTCTTTGGAGTATCCCCTCAATCTGGAGCCAGCAGAGCTGTTTGCAAAACGAGACTGCCAAGTGTTTCACCAAGAAACCAGCTGCCAATTGTTCCAGCACTGCAGAGATCCCCACTGTGCTGAAGCTTTGCTTTCAAGTCCCCATCGTGTTTTAATGTCCTCTTTCTCCCCTGCCTGGTTGAAAGCAGCTCATCTGACCTGCCTGGTCTAGTGGAAGATGTCCCTGTTCATGGCAGGGTGGGCTGGACTTGATGATCTTTAAAGGTGTCTTCCAACCCAAGCTATTCCATGATTCTTTGTCCTAGCTTAGTGCCTGGGGCTGCTCTGTGCACCTGAACCTCCATACACTTCCAGGTGCCTGGGACTGTGGTGCACCTCACGGGCAGTGCCAACAGGGACCCTTGTTTTGTTGGTTGCATACCCTACTTCCAATAGCTCTGGAAACATTCCACATGGGTTAAACAAACAAACCTCCCTTACACCTAAAAAATGTTAATTAATAAGGATCGTTGCTGATTCCAAGCAATGCTCTCCAAACATTGCCAAAAAATCACTGGAGGTTAAAGGAATTTTGGAGCAAGTGACTTAGAGCTGCAGTAAAGGGAAGAGTTTTCTTGGCACTGAGGCAATTTTCAGCAACTCCAGAGTGGTGAAAAGAAACATAAGAGTATCTTAAACCACTTCTGCCTTCAGCACCATTCTGCTTCAGAGAGATGTCAGTCCTCATCTGGCACCAACTTTTGGGTAAATAGAAGTAAAAGTGGTTCTCCTGACAAAGGATGTAGCTACACATGATGAAGCTGTAGGTCCTGTCACTTATTTCATGAATTTCTGTGTCTCACCCACCCCCACCACAGTTCTGATCCCCAGGCTTGGCTGTCTGGCTCTGAATAGCTTCCCATTTGCTGTGAGTGTGCTCTGTATCCCATTAAACATCATGACCCCATCATGATTCTTTGAGAGAAACCTTGGAGATTTGCTGACTGTGTGTGGCTCACTGACAGGTCATTTATTTCCACTTCTCCAGTGGTGCAAGTGGTGGCTGTGCCTTTGTACATGCTGACCTGAAGCTGGCCTGCTCCCAAGCACTGCATCTCCATGGTGCGTGGTGGGGATGGCACTGGGAGCAGGTTTTGGAGAAAGGCACCCACTGCAGGTGTCCAGTCATAGAAATCAGGGTAGGCCAAGTGCAGACTTGTTGCTCTCTTCTGGAGATGGCACAAACCAAGCTCTTAGCAGTGAGCTGCATGAGCCAGGCCTTCCTGTGCAATGCAGGTGGATGGATGGGTGTCCCTGTTTTCTTCAGAGGTGGTCCAAGGAACCATTCTCCAGCATTACCTTCTTGTGACGAAGGATGAAATGTCTAAGGTGACAGAGCTGCCATCCTCCTGCTGTTCTTTGCCCTGTGGACTGGTAGGACTGGGAGACCCAGCAGCCCCGCACCATGAGATTGAGCTCAACAGGGCCATCCTGCCAGCACAAGCCTTGAACTCAGCTGACTCCAGAGTGTTGAAGCTCAAGGACATGACAAATGGCAAATGTCACAAGGTCTCAGCTTTCTAAGGACAGCTGGAGAGCTGGTCCCAGATCATCCACATGTATCAGCACATGGGGCTCCAAGCAGGGCTGCTGCTGACCCCGTGTGAAGCATCCCAGTGTTCACGGTCCAAGAGAAGACACAGGCTTTGGCCAGCTGCCTGGAGTTTAAACGTCTGTGCTTCAGACCCAGACTTCCTTTT